CACACACACACGTCATGTCGGGCCTGTTTGTGGCAACGGCCTCCGTCATTTGGTTCCTCATCAAAGCCATCACCACCGTTGTCTGCCTCGCACTCTGGCTACTCTCGCTGCTCGTCCCGACTCGGACCATTGGCTCCATCCGCTCATTGGTATATGCGAGCTCGAGAGAGCTAACAGACTTTTGGTCCATGTGCTGGCTCTGTCTCTTTGCCTCGCTGGGTGATGCGCTGTTTGTCATTCCGGCTGCCCTTCTCTCGCTCGCCGTCCTCATCCGTCTCCCTTTCATGCCCTCCTTCTCGCGCTTTGGCGACGCCTCGGGCTCCGACTGCTTCTACGACGGCGAACCGCGATGGATGATCTTTCTCAACGGCATCCACTCGCTGCTGTTTGTCACCATTGTTCTGCCGTGTCTTGTGATCCTGGTCTTTGCGCCGTGGCGCTGGCCGCACCTTGCGCACATCATCACCTCGATCGAGTGGGGCGTCGACGACAACGATGAGGGCTTTGCGGGCGTCTTTCTCATCTTTGTCCAGGCCGGCTGCGTGCCGTTTGACTATTTGGTGGGGGTGCTAGGCGGCGTCGCTGCTGTCTTATCGCCGTGGCGCTGGTCCCGCCTCCGGCGCGAGGTGACCGACGCAGTGCGTGGATGGGAGGCCCTTGGCTCCGAGAACGGGCCAATGAGTCCGGGCAACGCCGGTCGCTCGTTTGTTCTTGGTGCGTTTATTGTCTTTCGCGCCTTTGCAGACTACATGCTCCTCATTCCTGCAGCGCTTCTGGTTCTCGGCGGGCTCGGCATCCGGCTTGTCCTCGCCATCCGGAGCTTTGTGCGGCTTCTTGCCGCCCGCGGCGCCAGTATCGGCGACTTTGCGCTTCACGAGCTAGTCTGCGGCTCACTACTCTACCTTCCTTTGGACGCCTTTCTCATAGCCGTCCTTGTTCTTGTCCTCGGCTTTCCGCACCGTTGGCGCCAGATTTGGCACGGCCTCGCCGCCGCCCGCCGCAGCTCCCGCGAGAACATCGGGGACTCGAACGAGATGGACGGGTTGGACGGGTCAAACAGCAGCCAGGTATTCTTCCTCTCAACCTCGATCCACGGATTTGCGCTCTCCACCCTGTGCGTCATGGCGGCCGACCTTGTCGTCGCCTTGCCTGCGCTCTGCATTCTGCCGACCCACCACTCGTACCTCGCGTACCGTGAGTGGCGTGAGAAAGGTACCCCAAGCCATCCGGGGTGGTACAGCTACGACGCCCATCATATCATTGTCAAGCACTTTTTTGTCCTCATTCTTGAGCTGGTGTGTGTCCTCCCGCTCCTCGTCCTCCTCTTTGTCACTGTCTACCGCGCCGTCTTTATGATCAAGGCTATCCGTGCCATCAAGGCCGCGGCACCCGACGGTAAGCTCCCGCCGTTCACCATCCACAAACAGGTCGGCATCCACGCCGCACTTCTCGGCGTCGAGATCTTTGTCCTGCCGCCCTTGATGCTCCCGCTGGTGCTGACCGGATACCGGCTGCGATTCCTCCGGGCTAGCTACGACCCAGACCGCATGGGCGCGCTCATTGTGGCGGTTGCCACCCAGTTTGGCGCCCTCTGCGCCGATCTGCCGTTTGCATTACTCGCCCTTGTCAGCTGCCTCGCCTTCTACCGCATCCCCAACATGATCTCCGGCTTTCTGGCCATTGTTCGGCTCCCTCACTCTGCGCCGCTTCGCAGCCTCCGGATGAAGGTCGCACTCCGGGGCCTGGCGCTTGATGCGCTCCTCCGCCTCGGTCTCGACCTGCTCTCGCTCCCGCTCCTTGCGCTTACTCTGGTCTCGCTCTACCGAATTCCGGTCTGGATCCACGACCTGCACGCTGCGCACAAGGCGCGCGCCCGCTACCGCGTGCTCTACCCGGACGCGCCACAGAGGATCAGTGCGAGCATGGTGCCGGGCTCGGAGCTCTCGGGCGCCGACGACGCGCAGCTCACGCTCTCCTGGGTCGAGGTCGAGTACGTGTCAGACTACCGCCAAGTCGCAAGTGTCGAGGCTACGCCCATGGTGCCGTCAATGATGTCGCGGCTGGCGGCGACAAACGCGACTCAGGGCGTCCTTGTGCTCGAGGAGCTCGCATGCCTGCTTCTGGCCGTTGTCCTGGTCTTTGTCCCGTGGCGGTTTTACCAAGCGCTTGCGCTCCTCTCGCTCCGCGACGACCAGACCTGGCGGCTCGACGTCATCCGGGCTTGGAAGCTCGGCTGGCAGGCTGAGTGGATCCGGGAATGGAACCCGTCGGCGTTGCGCAAGCGCATCTCGTCTGTCTTCCACCAGCGACTGCTGCCGGCGACGGTAACCCGTGTCTCACACCATCTTGGTCAGCTCCGCTCGTCGGCCGACGTCGAGGTGAGCATCACCCGGCAGCACGCGGCCGAGCTCGAGCGGCTGGGCGACGCGGTCGGCGCGGTGCTAGCAACCGACCTCCGTGTGGCGCACGAAGCCGCCTGGGCCACCGCCGCCAAGGTGTACGAGGCCAAGGCCTGGGGCTGCCGCGAGTATGCCACGATTGAGGCGGCCACCGGTGTGGTGGTCGGCGGCGATGCCGCGGTGGCCGACGCCAAAGCCGACGGCCTCCGTCAGGCCTACGAGGATGCCATGGTAACCAAGATGCAGGCGTCGATGGAAGCTGTTGATGCAGCGTCGGCGGCGTTCCGGGGCCACATGGTCGGTCACGCCAAGTACGTTGGTTCACAGTTTTGCGTCGGCCTCTTGCCGGCCATGTTTGCGCGGACGAGAAACTCGCCCGGCTCCAACCTTGTGCTTGTCGGCGTCTCGCTCCTCACCGCGATCCTGGACCTCCTCGCCCTGGCATGCTCGCTAGTTGTTCTCGGCTCGGTGGTGAGGGCAATTCCGCTCATCGGTGAAGTCCGCGCCCGGCTCAAGTACGGGCTCACGGTCCGGACCGCGGTTTGGCACCAGCTCCTCGAGCTTGGCATTGATCTGCTGCATGTTGCTGGCTTTGGAATATGCCTAGCATCGATCATCCAGTCGCACGGGGTTCTGTACTCGCTCAGCGACGCGCTCTTCTACGAGCGGTCTGTGGCATCCGCGCGCGAGGCCATCCAGCTCCATCTGCTCCTGCTCCTGCATCCGATCGGCTGGATTTACGGTATGTTCTGGCTCCTCATGGGCTCGTGGCAGACTTACATTGCTACGTTGGTGGGTACGCTCTGGGGCCCGCTCGCGCCAATGGAGCTCTTTGCCAAGCTCATGCCGTGCTGTGGCGAAGGCGAGTTCTCGCTCTGCCTCGCCTTTCTCTTTGGCCTCACCCTCTGGGTTGTTCCGCTCGCGGCGCTGTACTCGGGCATGGGCTCTGGATCCGCCGACGCCATGCACGACTTTTACCCGACCTTTGTGGGCCTTGCCCTCGCCGGCCTATTTGTGGTTATGGTCGCTGGTGTGCTCTTCTCGTTTGCATCAGAAAAGGCCAAGCCGTTCTCGTGGCAGCCGCAGTGGCTCCTCATCCCGAACCTCGCCAACGTGCTTGCAGTCAGCAGTGTCGGCTTTGAGCTCGCACAGCTCGCCGGCCTCGCGCTCCTCCTGTGGAACCCGGTGCAGGCGGCATCGCAGGTTGCGCCGGCAACTGCAGGCGTCGGACATTGGATCGGGCTTGGTCTGGTCCGACTCTTTGTGCCGATTGACTCGGCTGGCGGCCTCACGATGGCGCTCGTCCTTGTCGGGCTCTTCTATCTGGTCATGTCTGCGGCGATGGTCGCCGAGTTTGTGCTCGGCATGGTCGACGAGGGCGTCATCTCCGAGTCTGTGCTCTGGCGTTCGCTCATTGCCATGTTTGGCGGCCCGGGCTTTGTGTACATTGTTTTCTCGCTTCTCAGCGAGATGGCGTGTGTGTGGGATGGCACCGCGCTCGTCCTCAACTACGAGGTGACCGGGCTGCCCGGCGCGGCGCGGGTGTGCTTTCGCGACGGGCACATGGGCCGGGCGGGGCTGGCGCTCATCTCGCTCACCTTTTTCGTTCCACTTGCCTCGATGCTCCTGACCCATTTTACCGACGAGACGTCGCCGCAGCTGACGTTCCAGTACCGCGGCTCGTACACGCTCTCCTGGATTCTCACCAAGTTTGTGGTGCTTGTGGTGGTGGTCTTTGTGGGCGGCGGCGGGAACTCTGCGGCCAAGGGTGGCGATGCCCAGGCGAGCGCGGCGCTTGTCGCCGGCATCTGCATCCTGGCGTTTGCAGCGTTCTCGGGCGTGTACACCCTGTGTGGAACGCCCGCAACGCTGCCTGGCGCGCACGCAGTCCGAACTTGTGGCATCGGCATGGTGGGCAGCCTGTTTGTGGCGGCGTCGCTTGGAGCGCGGGCCAACAAGGCGCATGGTGTCGCGCCGCTGGCGGTGCTTGCCATAGGGTGCGGCGTCTTTGTGGCCGGCGCCGTGGTGTGGTACAAGCGGGTCAGGGCCAAGGCTAGGCGTGACGACGACGTGGCGGCCATTGAGCGGGTGCGAATCGGAGTGACGCGGCTGTGCGAACTGGAGCGGCGGGCAGTGATCCGCAACCTGGTGGCGCCGAGCTGGCGGACAGGCATGCGCAAGATGTTCCGGGTGCTAACCCAGCAGGCACGCGAGGACGGCGATTGGGTCCTTCTCCAGCGCATCACCATTGCACTCGAGGAGAACATGTTTTGCTACTTTGACGGCCCGCACCTGCGCGAGCGGTGGCAGATGGCTGACAACTCTGAGCCGGGCGTCCTCACCGCAGGCCGGGTCAACGTCTTCCGTGAGCGCTACGGGCAGTGGTCCGGCGTCCACACCATGGATCCGTGCTATCCGAGGCCGGTGCGGACGGTCTACCGCGAAGACTGGCGCCGCCTGGTACACGAGCCGGGGCTCCAGAGCGGCGGGTCTGATGGCGTGGCCTCGGACACCTGGTGCATCGGCATGACTCTTGACGAGCTCACGAGGTATGAGGCCCACCTCGAGAGGGTGGAGGCGTGGGTCGAGACCGGCGAACGGGCGGCGACTGACGCCCTGTTTGGCCTCCACCATCTCGACGACGTGGCGCTTGCGCCCGGAGCGTGTGCGTCGCGAATGCTTGCGCTCTCGGAGGGTGCAATCGAGCCGCTTGCGCCGTTTGAGCGGGTCGGCGACCAGCCGGGCGTCTTTGCGCTGCTGCCCGCGCGCGTGGTGGTGCCGGTGGTGCCGGAGCCCGGTGCGCCGCCGATTGTTTCGGTCTCGGTCACGCTCCATGCGCGACCGGATCGAGCGTCGGCCCACGGCATGCAGCCGATCTGGGTCGGCCTGGAAGCAACCGGGATGGTCAACGGCACATGGACAACGAGGACGTGGGGTATCGAGGTATCGCTCTGGTTCGGAGACGAGTCGGCCCCGAGCAGGCAAGCCGAGAATGCCGAACAAAGTCCGGGCAACGAGAAGAAGAGCGACCGCATCGAGGTCGCTAAGATGATCGGCAGCTATTTCATGCGCAAGTTCCTGGATCGGCCAACGAGCGAGGAAGAGCAAGAGGAGGCGAGCGCCAGTGCTAGCTCCGGGCACAACTCGTCGTCGGACACCGAGTCCGGTGGAGTCTATCAGGCATCATCGCTTGTTGAGCAGAACGAGAGCTCGAGCTCGAGCGCGAGCTTAAGCTCGAACGGCAGCAGCTACTCGTCATTCACCTCGTACTCTGACGACGGACGGCCTGCGGTGACGCCGTCAGCGATTGCGGCGGGGGGATGGACAACAGCGGCGGATCAAGGAGCGGCCTGCCGACGTTTGCGGACGTGATGGTGGGCGAGTCGGGAGTCCGAGTCGGGCCGGGTCGGCTTGCGGGAGACAGCGGGCCCGACTGGGTCGAGCTGAGCGTCGACGTCGACCGGCCGCTGTTCGACTCGTCGATGATGTTCGTGGATGTGGTGCTCGAGCCGCGTGGTGCGATTGTGGGGACTGACGTGTACGTGGGACTTCATTGACTGCAGTTTATACATTACACAAGTCAGGCCGTGAGCACGTTGTTGGTGCGGACAGCAGTCTTGATGACAGAGATCGGCTGGCGCTCGTAGAGGAGGAGTGACGGTGTGCAAGTGAGGACCGAGGCCTCGGGCACCGCAAACGAGACATCGTCCGAGACGTGCATCCACACGTCGCCGGTGGGGGTGATGGTTGACGGATGGTTGGAAGCGGTGTCGCGCGGAGCGCGCGGGACAGACCAGGCCGGGATCTTGCGAAAGGCGGTGTAGTGGCCGCGCGAAGTGCGGTCGCCGTGGTGGACAATGACGGCGGCAAGGGAGTAGATGGTCTGGGCATCGGGTGCGGCGCGAGCGGAAAAGTGCATGTACGGAGCCATGTCGAGGACCGCCGGAAAGTCGACGCGAGTATGGAGCTTGGCCACGCTCCCGCCTGTGGCGACGACGCGCTCAAAGTGGAGGGCAAGGACAGGCGGGAGGGCCGAGAGCGCGATTTGCTCGTGCATGACACCGTGGGAGCTTGCGCTGTCCTTGCTCGAGCCGGGTGGAGTGCAGTGCGGGCAGCGAGACGAGCCGTGGACCGGCTGCGGCGCGACGTAGGCGTCGAGGGCGGAGGCGAGTGAGACGGGCTTGCGCGAGTGGTACGACCCGGTACCGCCGCTGCCCAGCGCAGCAAGCGGGAGAGAGAGGTCTGAGAACGAGGAGACAGCGAGCGAGGCAATGCGCGAGCACGAGCCACAGAACCGCTTGGCCAGCGACAAGCCGCGGAGCGGAAGGAGCGGCGCAAAGAGCCGCGCGTAGGCGAAGAACGGCGGGTCGCCATCTGACGATGCGCGGAAGGCGCAGAGTGCAGCGCCGCGCGGAACCTTGGCCAGCGGTGTCGAGCTAGTCGCCGGCTCGCACACTACCCGCAGCCTATCGGTGCGCTCGGCTTCGTCAAGAGCCTCCTCCACCGCGCGGGTCAGCAGATGCAGGAGCTCGTACGGGTCCTGCTGCCGGCGGACGTCGAGCGCGGGGAAGGCTTCGTCGAGGGCGATGACTAGTGCGGCTAGCGCAGACCGGAGCTTGCGGGCCGGCGAGTGGCGGGCCGGCGAGTGACGAGCTGGCGGGTGGGCGCTCGAGGGCGAGCTCTCGCCCGGCGAGAGCGGAGCAATGCGGGCGAGGACCGAGGCGAGGGCGGCGAGGACAGGCAGCAGGAGCGAGTCGTCCGGCAGCGAGGCAGCAGCGAGATCAAAGTATGTGGCGAGCGGCGGAAGAGCAGCAATGGCGGAGATGACAGCATTGAGATAGCAGGTCTGGCCCAGATTGGCCAGCGGCGGCAGCGAGAAGGACGGGCCAGCCGAGGGCGGGCAGAGGGCGTGGGAGGAGCGATACGCGGCACGGGCCGAGAACAAAGCATAGGCGGCAGCAGCAGCAGCAGCAGCAGCAGCAGCAGAGCTCCCCGCAAGGAGCGACCAAGACAGCCCTTGTCCCCGGGCTGCCATGGTAGAGGAGGTGGTGGGGTGATGGAGTGGGGAAGGGTGGGGTGGACGGTGGAGGGGGGGGGGGGTGGGAAGGGGGGTGAGGGGATCGAGGGA